CTGTAAGATGGAAGAAAGAAAGGAGCACATTTGCTTTTCAGAAGCACCTTGTTGTCTATCACCTACTCTTCATCACCGAAAAACATCCCGTTCTCTAATAAGAAGCTCTATTAAAAATAGTATGAGATTATATTTTGTAAGTACAGTAGCTTGTGAAGCAATTTTTTGAATGAATTCAAATGGCTTTGTTATATTAAAATTATTTTAGAAAAGGTTTTCATAACACACAGATGACAAATGCTTACCTAGTTATAAGTATAGAGTGATCCAATCCTTAATAAAATTAATAATAAAATATAATATATATGCATATGTATTTATATACTAGTATTTTTGTAAAAGCAAAGTGAAAAACTAGCAAATTGTTAGCAGTGATTCTATGAGGAGGTGAGGAACCAGGAAGGTGAGAAAAATTTCATTTCATTTGAGCCACATCGACCTTTTTTGAGTAGTCAAAATACAAAAATTTTATCCGTGTAATTCAAATGAATGAAACAAATGAGTTGAGTGAAACCAATACAAATGTTCCAGAACTGCCCTGTTCAACAAAATTGGATTCCAACTAACAAATGCAAACCCATATATATATTTCAGATTTCTGGCAGTCACATTGAAAATTAATATATTTTAATTCACTATACCCAAAATAATACTATTTCAACATGTAAGTAAACCTAAAATATTCATAACATAGTTGACACCATTTTCGTAGTCTCTAGAACTTGGCATATTCTTACACTTACATGTCTTACTTCACATCAGCCCCATTCCAAGTGCTAAGGGGCCATATGTGGAGAGTAGGAGCCTACTGGACATCATGGCTGCAGCGGGCACGGCTGGCTTTCCCCAGGTGCGTTTTGAGTGCAGAACCCTCAGTGTTTGTCAGCCCAGGGATGTCAGGTCTGTATCCTGCTCTGGTCTCATGGTATCAATTTTGGTTCAACTTTTCATCATCCAGTGTTACCATTTTTCAGTTGAGACATGTCAATATTATTTAATACAATTTGTTGTCACCAGTGCAAATGTAGAATTATTATAAAACCTACATTCAAAGTGAAATGAACAGTTTAGTTTTAGAAAACAGTAAGACATCAGCTTTTTAAATTATCCATTAGGACAACTTTATAACAAAGCAAAAAGTAAGATGATATAAAGTTTAATTTTAACTGTGGAAAGCTTATACAACTCTTAGTATCTTCTGCTTAAAGAGACAGTAGTAAATAACAAAATTGCTCCCAAAGAATAATTAGTCAAACTATTTATAACCTGATGTCTTATCTGAATACTACATGGAGAGGGTTTTTTTGTTGTTTAAGCTCCAACTCAATTACAGAGCAGTGGATATTTGGCAGGAATCTCCTGAACATCAATTTCCCCAGTTAATGGAGAACTTATTTAACACCATATGAAAATTTAAAGAAAGTAATGTATGTGACAATACTTCAAAAGCAAAATGCAATATATTGTAAAATAATTATGGTGATATTTTTGTAGTTAAATCTAATAAGATTGCCAGAGGTGTTATAGAGCTAAATTCTATCTTTACTGGTAGGACTGAATTTTGGAGAACCTAGGACAAGAAGAAACATGAAGAAATAGTTTTCAGAATGGTGCAATATATTCAGAGATTTGGCCTTTTAGAAATTTGAGTCATTGTAAACATATTTACAGAGATAGGTAAGTGGTTTTTGCTAGGCTGATTTTTAATTATGGCGAGCACGGAAGGCAGCTGATGACATTAGAGAAAATTCTCCTACAAAAAACAAAGCACAGTGGCTTAGAATGGACAGATTTTAGTTCTTGGTATCTGCTCTTCAGTGAAGAGTCACAGGACTGGACAATCACTTAATCAACTGAGACCAAAAATCATGAAGGATTATTGCATACTAGAAGAGTACATTTTTATGCCATTTCTGCCTATATTCCCTCTATGATTTCTGTAAAATGGACTTTGTGTCTGTGAGAATAGCACAAAAGCTTTACTTTCCTTGACTTTTCATCACTTCCTTTTATTACTACCAAAAAAGTTACCCACAAAATTGTATGGTTTGTATTTGGTTTGAACAATGACGTATATCAAGTCACTATCCATGTCAAGGCAAGGAAGTGAAGATATTATTGTACTATTTTTAAATTAAATATCCAATATTTAATTTAAATTAATTAAATACCTAAATTAAATTAACCAAATTAAATATCTAGTATGAGAAAATTTGATATCTACACATGCAACTTATTAAACAGATATATTTTAAGGGTAATAATTCCTTTAGAAAATAATTGATTGCCATTTTTAAATAGCCAGTTTCCCTGCTGAAGTTCATGTAGTTAATTTACTCAGAAATTTTTAGGTAGCACTTATCGCAAATGGTGAGGTACAATTTTATAGCATACTTTCTTATAAATGGGACTTCCAAACACCATTGATAAGTTAAATGTTGAGAAATTAACCTCAAATCTCTTAAAGATCAACCAAATTTTCAAGATCCTCCTTCACCCGATGTAAGCCAGAAATGAAAAATAATGAATGTTTTTACAGAGTAAGATGACATAAAATGTGAAGAGAATATAATACATATAGCAAGAGAATATAATTATATTCAGAATATAAAGAGAAATATAATGAAACCCCAAATTACTCATTTGAAGACCCTAAAGAAATACTTCCCTTTGCCTGCAAGGGGCTTATTCTATCCTTCCTACTCACCTACATTAGTGCTACAAAACATTATTGCATATTTTGAAAAAATATTTATTTCTAGGACATCTGGTACTAACAACACCAATACTTTGTTCAAAAGCATCTGTTTGTGACATCTGAGGATTGTGAGAATGAACAATTCTGGGACACCAAAAAGCAAGGTGTTACCTGCTCCTCATAAATGCCTCTATTATTAACATTTCACCTGTAAAATGTCAGTAACCTAGCTCTGTTAGAAACAAGTGACTGGAGAAAAGTTTGTTGAAGTTTTTATTATTGTTTGTATCTGAAGGACAAAGAGAATTTGAAATTAAATTCTGATAAATTATGTAAAATAGTGATGCAGAGGATCCTTACTTTAAATACACACACATACACACTTACACATATAAAAAAGGCAAAAAAAACCCCTCAAATATAAAGAATAAGCCTATTGTTCTTCTACCATTGAATGTTTAACTGAAAACTTGGGGTATTTCATTAGCAATAGAGTTTTCTCTGAGTCCTAATATACTGGAGAAAAAGGTGTGCTTGAAACAATATGAACATTCATCTAGCTTGTGTTTCTCCAAATCTATTCAACCCACTCCTAAATTCCTAGGATAAAGGCAGATTTAAGAGGGAGCATGAGCTTATTGTCTCTGGCTTTTCTGAAAACTAATAGTCAATATTTCAAGTCAATAGTTGAGATCCCACACTAAATTTTTTTTAAATCTTTTAACTTCTTTGATGCAATTGTGTTTAAAGAATCAAATACAGCACAACTTTAATTTTGTGCATGCCTTTTGTGCATATCACATTTTGTGCACACCACGTTTATGGAGCTTACCAAACTCATTCTCTCTCAAAGTACAGGACATGAGAATTGGCAAATGTAATGCTCTATGTAGAGTACACATTTTTTTTATCCTGGTCTGCTTATGTCTGAGAGCCAGTATGGTCCAGTGGTGAAGGGGTTGGCTCTGAGATCACATCACGGTTCCATCACTAGCTTGGATGCATTTGGTTTCTGTTTCAGTTTCCTCTTATGAGAAATAGGGATAAAAACAGGAGCTACTTGAGAGCATTTTATGCATGTTAATCTGTATAACACACAAAGAACGGTGGCTAGCATTTGTTATTGCTCTTATTCTTTATTTTCGATCTACAGTAATCAGAAACTGGGTTTCATGATATTATGCAGTTTTTGGTTGATGCTAAAGTTATAATTTCTGTAGTCCACAGAGGTGATTTTTGAAGTAAAATAGACTCAATGTTTTTCTATTGATTTGAAATAAATGCTAATTGCACATAATGAAGAATTTTTCCATGGGGGCTTAAATAGATGCAAGTAATATCTAGTTACCAATACCATTTTTATATGTGTGAATATGTGTGAACTCTTTTCTTTTAATAGTTCAGCGAATAAATATAAGTAAATTACCTTGCAAGCAATAGAAAAAACAAGGAATTAAAAATGTCTCAGTTGGGAAAACTATATACTCTATTTATGTCCTTTTCTGGTGATTTTTAATATTAAGGAAGAATATACCAGTCACTGAGGAAAATACCAGGAAACTAGTAGGTTTTTGTAATTTTCTTTTTGCATTAATGACAATATTGTGTTATTGAAAATGTTAGAATTCCACTTTGCTTAGATTTAGGTTGTTATAATAAATTCATTTTCACCTGGGTATTATGATTATGCACTCATGTTGCTTTGCTGAAGTGCTCAAACTATTATGATTTATTATTATTTTTCTATAACTGAGAACTTTTGCCACATTTTTGAAATTTATTTACAAAGGCTCACATTTATGCTAATATTCAGTTGAAATTGAAATAGGTAATTATTCTTTTTTAAACCAGAGATGCAAATTTTTTTAATGACAAAATGTCATTAAAATCATCAACCGTCAAAATTTATTAAGACAAACTTTTCTTTAACTTGCTGAAAGGACATACCAAGACAACCTAAAAATCTACAAAATATACCTCTTATTTTCACTAAGAGAACATTGGATCATGACCCCATGAGTAAAAGGCTTACTCTCTTCCATTGTGTACGATGTGTACATTATTTACATGTTCTTAAGAAATAATTTGGTAACAGTTGTGTTTTAAAGCCATCTGTAGGACTTGCTGGAACTATGCAGTGAGTGAATAATCATCTCTAGAGATTCCCCCCAAATTATGAAAAGCTTAATATTTCAGCTACATTGATTTTTCATATAAAAATATCTATTATAGGAGTCAACTACCATGTGAAATAAATTGCATTTGTTTTAATTGAAAAAGATAGCTAAAAATTTTCTGTGGGTTATTGCAACAGTACAAGAATACAAGGTGCATTTATTGATTAACAAAAACAATTGAAAAACAAATTGTGAAAGCAAAAGCTGGCGACAAAACACAAAGGTTCTTGACTGCCTTTGCCTTTTAAAACATGTTGCAGGCTAATATGCCAGAGTTGGTAAATGCTAGAAAGTGTAAGTTGGCATTTGCTAATTTAATGTTAAACATTTTCCCCAGCTGGAGCACTATGGCAAGTATGTATATGTATGGTAACCACTGCCTCCTCCAAGCATCACAACCTTGTGGTCACATAATCTTCGTGGGTGACTGTGCCCATGAGGTCCAAATCATAGTCTATGCTAGAGTCCTCTTCCTTGGCATGTTTCTCCTTTGGTATTATAGGAACAGTGTCTTCCACCACCACCGTCTCTGACTCGAACGAACACGCTCTCTTGCCTACCTGCAAACCCAATGAGTCCGTATTCCTTTCTCTATGGTCTACTAACACACACTGTTCACTGAGACCAGGAATGCTCAGGTCACCCCGTGTAGCTAGTCCGCGGGATTCCAGTTGAATACTTCTCTCAAGTGGTCCTGCCGCCTGTTGACGAGCAACTTCTTCTGAAACAGAGAAGATTTGGTTTGCATTTTGCTCAGTAGCGTTTTGTTTTGAACGTCTATGAAATAACCCGAAGTTTTTGATATCAGCCACAAAATTCACTTTTCTCTGCTTCTCCCTCGGTTGCCCCTGCAGCACCAGGGCAGAACCATTGCTTATGTTATGTCTTTCGGAGGCAATTGCTGCTGACCTCGGATGAATCAGAGTGGTTAAATCAAAAAGGCTGAGATTCTTTTTCTTGTCCTTGCAATTACCTTCATTATCACTCTTTTCGTCAGAGTCTGCTGAATTCGGAGACTCCTTGGTGGCATTTGCAGACTGTATTGTAGAAAGTTTGCTTCCTCTTAGTAATCCCAGAACTTCAAAACGGAAACTAGAAATGTCTTGCTTTAGTTCCTAAAGGAAATTTAAAATGTCAAATTAGGTTGGGACTTAAATAAACATTAGGAAACATTATTTTCTAATTATATGATAGGTCTGAAATGTTTTCACTCCTTTTTAAGGACATGGATTATGGCTAGTGTGGTTCTATTTTGAATTTTCAGTTCTGTCCCTGGCACCTGGTGTTATTTTCATGTCTACTGATTTCCTTATTGGAGGAACAGGGAAAAGAAAGTAAGAGGAATTATCCTTTCTACCTCTGTGTAGTCGAGTATTTTGGTTTTCTTTGGCACTGCAGTTTCAAATACTTCCTCTCCAAAGTATTCATCTGTAGTCAAGTCACTTCACATTCTCTCAAAGATGAATTTTTTAATATTGCAGATCTTTTGTATCCAAAACAAAATAAAGTGGACCTTACCTTTCTAAGAACTGGCAGTTACTTTCATTTATTTACTACCTTGGTGAGGACCTTACCCTAACCTCTGTGCCAGCCTCTTAAATCCTACGAATTGCTTCACATCAGACATTTCCAAGGTTTGTCCATTTCTCTTATCTCTTTGGGCAACTGAGCTCTCTCTTAACCTGGTGGTGGACTTCTTGGTGGTGTTCTTGCTCCAACCTACTTCCCAAGGCAACGTAAATCATTTTAACTTCATAATTTGGATTTTTGTAGTTGCAAAGAACATTTTAGAGCTTTGTTCATTTACAATCTGTACTTTAAGCTTTGCAATTTATCTATTTTCTTACATAATTGGCTGCTTGTAGTTATTCTCTTTGCCAAACTAACTGCTTTCTCTTGTAAAAGTCTCCTATAATTCTTTTTTGTTTTATTTTTCTTTGTCATTACGATCTTATTGCCCTTAAAGCAGTCCTCCAAAATTTTTAAAGACTGTTTATTTATGCAAAATAAACAAGTTAATATCAATGTAAATATATAATAATATTAACATATAGAGAGCACGTGTACTGTACTTATTTCCTCTGATAGAATTTTTCAAAAGAAACTCAAGTAGAAAGACTAAGGTTATGAGTTACAATTAAACTCACAACTTGAATTCCCTGCTACAGTACTGGTACAAAACACCCACAGGTTTTTTTCGTCATTGTTAGTATGTTAGTTTTTAAATGTTTCAGATTTAGAAGTCAGGTTGGAATATCAAACACTAAGCCTCACTCAGCAAAACACTGCTGGGACCAGTGAGTAGGAATGCCACAAGACACCAGGATTTTCTCTGCCTCCAAGTAAGTCCCTTTGACATTTTGGGCTAAGTATGTTCCAAAACAATTTATTTTGAGAAGAAATTTCACCACTTGCTGCTGCTTACAAAAAAAAAAAACCAAACATTCAATAGAACTTTAATTTGAAAAGCAGAAGACACACAAGCCTGCTAGAACACATAGGTGAATTTCCAGCTCTGATTTTCAATATGCTGTGACTACTTCCACATTCTGCAGACTGTGCCTCATTGTGATAAAGATCGAAAGGGTTACCTTAAAGTTCTCTTCAGTCAGCCCTTCTTCAGTTTTAGCATCTCTAATCATGGCTGCAACATATCTCTTCACCAGGTTCCTCATAACTTCCTATGGCATTTTAGAACAACAGTATTAAGATTCAATGCATAAACAGGATTTCTCTCCTGCATCACTTCTGTATTTTATTTTAATGCAAATTTCAAAATAAAATACGAGGATAGCTTACTTGATATTGATGATGTCTTCTCAAATTGTCAGCAGCTCGCCTCTGAAAAGGAAAGGGACATTTATGTTATATATGGATATATAACCATTCTGGAAAAGAATTAACTTTTTTAAAAAATTAAGAATGTTTTTAGTCTCGTTTACTTACTTATGTGGTAGTTTTACTAGACAAAGGGCAATGGTTACAGAGGGCTTCAAATGAGTCCAAAAATGGGTGAACAGAAACAATTAAGCTTATACATGCAACCCGTGGGACATTTAAAACACAGAATAAGTTAGTGCTGGTAGAAATGTGGTTCTAACAGAAGATAAAGAGTGAAGAAGAATTAGTTGGTCATAGCTGGTGCACATCCAAATCACTAGAAATGTTGCTGAGCTAGATATCTATCATAATAAAATAAAATAACATAATAAAATAAAGTGTCTGTCATAATTTCATTTTGTGTGTTTTAATAAAGCTAAGGAAGGCTACTAGCCAAATAATCAAAAGTACAAATACTCCTATAATAAAGGAATTAACTTAGCAAATTATAAGAAGGCAAAGGGATAATATATCTTGGTTTTAAATAAATCTTTTGATGTTGTTCCTTACTAAATACTTAATCACAGGCTGATACAGTTAAGTTTTGAAAAGAGTTGAATGCATCACTGTGAAATTACATTTAAAAAGTTAAATAAGACAAAAGAAACCCTTTTTCTATTCAGAAACTTAAGAGAAAATGCTATTTCCACTGGCTATCAGAAGAGATTTGGATTTATGATTAGCAGTGACCTATAGGCACAGATGAGAAATGCTTTGTTTCTTAAAGGCCACTAATTATTTTAAGCATCATTCACTTCTGCATGACAAATTTTGCATTTTCAACATGAATAGAGCATTAATTTAAAAATGAGGAAATGTGAAGCTTAATACAAAATTAGAATATCTAATTTGGGTTGTAATACATATATGCATGGAAACAACACAAGGAATCTCTAAACCAGAGTGTAGCATGGGCCACCAGGTGGGGGTGTCTGACTTTTGTTGAGACACAACTCAGCTGAAATCTAAGACAAAAAGCATTTCTAGAAGGAAACATAGGCTTTCTAGATCTCCATGGAGTTACTTAAAGTAAAAAAAAAAGTACTGAAGTGAATTGTGCACCAATTTCTTTAACATTCTCTAAAAGCATTATTGAGAAGACATGTCTTCCATGATTTAAGTAGATAGAAACTCTTAATTCAATATCAAAGTAATTTATTTAGTCAGTTTAGTTTTTTGGGGGAGTCCTATAGCATTTTGCTATTTGATTTTTAAATCCTTTAAAAATTTACTAAGAAAATTTCAACAAAGAACACGTTTTTTAAAATTATTGTTCTGGGTGGGGGTACATTGGGATATTTGCAAAAGTTCTTACAATGTATAAAATATATCATACTTGAATTCACCTCCTCTGTTGCTCTCTTTCATCCTCCCTTTCCCCAATTCCCAGAACAGTCTCAACAGGTATCATTTTTGCATTTATATACATGTGTGTATATGTTATTTGTACCACCTTCCCCCACCTTTCGGCCTTCTCTTTCTCCAATTTTGTAGAAGAAAAAACATAAAAGATGGTAAGAAAGACATGGCGTTTTGCCAGTTTGAAATAAAGATAGCTGTATGGGAAATTCTTGTGTTGCTTCCATGCACATGTGTATTACAACCTAAATTGGTTCATCTCTACCAGACCCCTTCACTACTCCCTAGTGCCCTTCCCATGGTGACCTCAGCCAGTTGAGGATTACTATATTCTTTCCTATACAGTGATTACATCAACCACATTCAAGGTTTTGGTTTCCTTCCCCTGCCATATCCCTCTCATGTTCAGTCTCCCTTTAGTGTGTGACCCATGTCCAATAATATTACTGCATTTGTTTGAGGTCTATAATCCACATATGAGGGAGAACATGTGATATTTGGCCTTCTGAGCCTGACTAACTTCACAATATGATGTTCTCCAGTTCTATCCATTTACCTGTGAAAGACAAATTTTCATTGTTTTTGGCTGAATAAAATTCCATCAGGTATAAATTAGCACATTTTCTTAAGCCATTTGTCAGTAGTGGGACATCTTGGTTGTTTCCACAACTTGCTATTGTGAAAGTGCTGCAATAAACATGGGTGTGCAGGTGCCTTTGTAGTAACTTGAGTCACATTCTTTTGGGTATATTTCTAGTAGTGGTATTGCTGGATCATATGGCAGATCTGTTTAGTGTTTTAAGAAGCCTCCATTTATTTTCCATAGTGTTTGTACTAGCTTACATTCCCACCAGCAGTGTATGAGGGTTCCTTTTTCCTGCATCCTTCCCAACATTTGTTGGTAGTGGTGGTCTTGATTCTAACAGGAATGAGGTGGTTTTGATTTGCATTTCCTTTATGGCTAGGAATGGTGGGCATTTTTTTCATGCATTTTATAGACATTTGGACGTCTTCCTTTGAAAAAGTTCTGTTTAGTTCAGTTGACCACTTCTTTATTGGGTCATTGATTGTTTGGAAGTTTAGTTTTTTGAGTTCCCTGCATATTCTGATTATTAGCTCCTTGACTGATGTATAGCTAGCAAAGATTTTCTCTCATTCTGTGGTGGTCTTTTCAATTTAGCAACCATTTCTTTTGCTGTGCAGAACATTTTAATTTCATGTAGTCCCATTTGTCAATCCTGTCTCTTAGTTGCTGTGCCACTTAACTTCTACTGAGGAAGTCCTTGCCTATGTCTATTGCTTCCAGAGTATTCTCTGCTCTTTCCTGTACTAACTCCAAGGTTTCATGTCTGATATTGAGGTCCTTAATCCACTTTGAGTTTATCAACTCAAATGCAAGGTGACAAGCATGGATCTAGTTTCAATTCTGCAGGCAGATTATCACCAGTTTTCCCAGCAATATTTATTGAAGAGGCTGTCTTTCTCACCATATGTTTTTGACAACTTTGTTGAAAATTAGGTAAGCATAGCTGAGTGGAATCATGTCCAGGTCCTCTATTGTGTTCCACTGCTCTTCATTTCTGTTTTTGTGCCAGTGCCATGCTACTTTTATTGCTATGCCTCTGTAGTATAGTTTGAAGTTGGGTATTGTGATTCCTCCAGCATTGCTTTTTTTTGCTCAGTATTGCCTTGGCTATTCATGGTCATTTGTGTTTCCAAATGAACTTTAGGGTAAAATTTTCAATCTCTGTGATGGGTGTTATTGGGATTTTGAAAGGAATTTCAATGAACATATAGTTTGCTTTGGTAGTATATCCATTTTTACTATGTTGATTCTGGCAGTCCATGAGCATGGGAGATCTTTCTACCTTCTGTAGTCTTCTTTGAGCTCTTCCTTTAATGGTTTGTAGTTGTCCTTGTAAAGGTCATTTACATCCTTTGTTAAGTTTATTCCTAGGTATTTGATTTTTTTTTGAGGCTATTGTAAGTGGAATTGCTTTCCTATATTCTTTCTCAATCTGCTCATTTTTGGTGGATAGGAAAACTACTGATTTTTGTGAATTGATTTTGTATCTTGCAACTTTTCTGAAGCTGTTTATGGTGTTAGGAGATTTTGGGTGCTGTTTTTTGGGTCTTTACGATATAAGTCACGTTATCTGCAAATAGGGATAGTTTGGCTACTTTACTTATTTGTATTCCTTTTATTTCCTCTTCTTGCCTTATTGCTCTGGCTAGAAATTCCAGGACTATGTTGAATATGAGTGGGGAGTGTGGGCACCCTTGTCTTTTTCCTTAGTTAACAGGAAATGGTTTAAGTCTTTCCCTATTAAGTTTGATGTTGGCTATAGGTTTGACATATCTAGCCTTTATAATGATGAGGTAAATTCCTTCTATTCCTACTTTCCTCAGGAAACTTTATTCATGAAATGGTGTTGAATCTTATCGAAGGTTTTTTCTTTGTCTGTTGAGATGATAAAGTAGTTTTTGTCTTTGCTTCTGTGCTGTATTACATCTAATGATTGGCATATGTTGAACCATCCCTGCATCCCTGGAATGAAGCACACTTAATCATGTATGATCTTTCATATATGTTGTTGGATTTGGTTTGCCATTATTTTTTTGAGGATTTTTCATCAATTTTCATCAAGGAGATTGGCTTGTAGTTATCTTTTTTGGTTGTGTCCTTGTCCAGTTTTTGGATGAGTATAAAATTGGCTTCATAGAATGAGTTACGCATTGCACCTTCCCTTCCTATTTAATGGAAAGGTTTAAGGAGCGTTGGTATTAGTTCTTTAAAGACATGGTAGAATTCAGTGGGAATCTGTCAGGTCCTGGATTTTTCTTTTTGGTAGACTTTATTGCTACTTCAATTAACAAAAAGCAGTTTTAAGTCATGGTTGTACTTAAATTTCTTTAGTGTGAGACTAAAATTAAAGATGACAGAATCAGAATTATGAGTAATAAGTAAAAATTATCATGACAATTATAGTGAATTGTTCTTTGCCAACTGATTTTTCTGCATCCACATATTAATGATATAAGATAGTTTCTAGTCTTCCAACTAAAAAAAAATTCAGCTAACTGAACTCCAACATCCTGGCTAGGAAAATGGGAATAAATGAAGCTAACAAATATCAAAATTAAAAATAAATGCAAAGCACTCACCAAATGATGAATGTAAACTATTCTGTTTATGTAGTCCTCATCTTTTTAATTTCCCCTCTGTAGCTAGGACCTCAGAATAGATCCTTGTTTTAGTCACTGTTGTCATTATATTAACCTGATTCTACTGTTGGGAGATAGTGTGGTATAATATTAAAAACATGGACTTAGGACTTATACATGGGTTAGAAGTTAACTAAACCTCAATAGGGAGTTTATCTCTGAGATTTCTAGAAATCATGAAGATTACATGACCTAAAGATTTAAGGCATCTGTCATTAACTAATGTTAGTTTCCATTCTCTTTGCATTTTTTACTTTCTGATTAATAATGTGATTTACCTGTTTTAAAAATACTCATGAATCACAAAACTGCATAGGTTGACATGTAAGGATTACCTCTAAGGAAGTAAGGGAAGATAACTGCAATGTAATTATCTG